TGGCTCTGTCTCTGTAAGTTGGGGTCCATCAGACTCTTCCTTTGTCACAGCCTGGAAGCTTTTAGCAAAGCTCAGCTTCTTTGTTTTCTGTCTTTTAGGGATATTTGTTGCTTCATCATGTGCAGCGTCTTGAAAACCATTGTTTGATTTTTGTTCAATCTTTTGTTTCAGACAGGGGAGTAAAGCTGGTCTCTAGTCCATCTGCTGGAAGTGAAAGGACTTTTGTTTTAATTAACTTTTAATTATAGAAATCTGAAGCAACTACAAAAATATAGAGAGTGGGATGATGCATCCCCATGTACCCATCACCAGTTACATATGTAAGCATCCGTAATTACCCTCTTGGAGCCAGTGTTGTCTTGTCTTCTAACATACTGCCTCTCTCTCTCAACCCCCCTGGATTATTTTGAACCTAATCATATCATCTCAACCCTAGATATGTTAGTACATTTCTCTACATTTCTCCTGAGCAGTTCCTTGGAGGCATAGCCACAATACTCTTTCCATATCTAAAAGTACTTTTCTTAAAACCTTTTAATGTTATGTTTTCTTTAAGATATTCCTAATATTCTCACAGTTTTGTTTCCTTGTTTTTAAAGTTGGTTTGTTTGAAAAAGGATCCAAATAAAATTTATATATTCTTTTTAAATTATTGGGTTGGCCAAAAAGTTCATTTGAGTTTTCCCCTTACAGCTTACAGAAAAACCTGAATGACCTTTTTGCGCAAGCCTACAGCAAGATGGTAGGAGGGGTGAAATTGCATTTAGAATCAAACCCCATACCTGCCAGAGATGCTCAGAGGGCTCAAACAAACCCCAGGACCCAGAGACCCCACAGAGATTGAGACAGAACTGTGTTTGAGTGTCTCCTGCAGAGGTCCAGGTCAGCAGTGGACTACTACAGGGGCAGGGGCTCTGGATGCAGCAGACCTGGGCATTGCATAAGTCCTCTTGGAGGAGGTCGCCATTAACCCCACCACAGAGCCTCCAGAACTTACACAGGACTGGGAAAACAGGCTATTGGAGGGCACAAACAGAACCTTGGGTGCACCAGGACCCAGGAGAAAGGAGCAGTGACTCCACAAGAGACTGACCCAGACTTAGCTGTGAGTGTCCAGGAGTCTCTGGGGAGGCGTGGGTCAGCAGCAGCCTGCTGGAGGGCGGGGGCACTGAGAGCATGCATGGGACGTTTTGAAGAAGGTCACCATTGTCTTCATCATCTCCACCATAGTTTGGCCCCAGGTAGATAACCAGGAGAGAACACAGCACTGCCCATCAACAGAATATTAGAGTAAAGATATACTGAGCATGGCCCCGCCCATCAGAATAAGACTCAGTTTTCCCCTGAGAGTCAGTCTTTCCCATCAGGAATCTTCCATACGCCTCTTATCTTTCTCCATCAGAGAGCACACAGATTGAAAACCACAGTCACAGAAAACTAACCAATCTGATCACATGGAACACAGCCTTGTCTAACTCAATGAAACTATAAACCATGCCATTTAGCGCCATTCATCCAAGATGGACATGTTGTGGTGGGGAGTTCTGACAAAACGTGGTCCACTAGAGAAGGGAATGGCAAACCACTTCAGTATTCCTGCCTTGAGAACCCCATGAACAGTTTGCAAAGGTAAGAAGATAGGACACTGAAGATGAACTCCCCAAGTCAGTAGGTGCCCAGTATGCTACTGGAGATCAGTGGGGAAATAACTCTAGAAAGAATGAAGAGATGGAGCCAAGGCAAAAACAACAGCCAGTTGTGGATGTGACTGGTGATGGAAGGAAAGTACAATGCTGTTCAGGGCAATATTGCATGGGAACCTGGAATGTTAGGTCCATGAATCAAGGCAAATTGGAAGTGGTCATACAGGAGATGGCAAGAGTGAACGTCAACATTTTAGGAATCAGCAAACTAAAATGGACTGGAATGGGTGAATTTAACTCAGATGACCATTATATCTACTACTGTGGGCAAGAATCCCTTAGAAGAAATGGAGTAGTCATCATAGTCGATGAAAGAGTTCAAAAAGCAGGACTTGGATGCAGTCTCAAAAGCAACAGAATGATCTCTGTTTCCAAGGCAAACCATTCAGTATCACAGTAATCCAACTGTGCCCCGGACCAGTAATGCTGAAGAAGCTGAAGTTGAATGGTTCTGTGAAGACCTACAAGATGTCCTACAACTAATACCCAAAAAAAGATGTCCTTTTCATTACAGGAGACTGGAATGCAAAAGTAGGAAGTCAAGAGATGCCTGGAGTAACAGGCATATTTGGCCTTGGGGTACAGAATAAAGACGGGCAAAGTCTCAGAGTTTTGCCAGAAGAATGCACTGGTCATAGCAAACACCCTCTTCCAACAACACAAGAGAAGACTCTACACATGGACATCACCAGATGGTCAACACTGAAATGAGATTGATTATATTCTTTGCAACCAAAGATGGAGAAGCTCTATACAGTCAGCGAAAACAAGACTGGGAGCTGACTGTTGCTCAGATCATGAACTCCTTATGACCAAATTCAGACTTAAATTGAAGAAAGTAGGGAAAACCACTAGACCACTCGGGTATCACCTGAATCAAATCCCTTATGATTATACAGTGGAAGTGACAAATAGATTCAAGGGATTAGATTTGATAGAGTGCCTGAGAACTATGGATGGAGGTTCAAGACGTTGTACAGGAGACAGGTATCAAGACCATTCCCAAGAAAAAGAAAGGCAAAAAGGCAAAATGGTTGTCTGAGGAGGCCTTACAAAGAGCTGTGAAAAGAAAAGAAGCGAAAAGCAAAGGAGAAAAGGAAAGATCTACCCATTTGAATGCAGAGTCCCAAGGAATAGCAAGGAGAGATAAGAAAGCCCTCCTCAGTGATCAATGCAAAGAAATAGAGGAAAACAAAAGAATGGGAAAGACTAGAGATCTCTTCAAGACAATTAGTGATACCAAGGGAACATTTTAGACAAAGATGGGCACAATAAAGGACAGAAGTGGTATGGATTTAACAGAAGCAAAAGGTATTAAGAAGAGGTGGCAAGAATACACAGAAGAACTATACAAAAAAGATCTTCATGAGCCAGATCACCACGATGGTGTGATCCCTCACCTAGAGTCAGACATTCTGGAACGTGAAGTCAAGTGGGCCTTAGGAAGCATCACTATGAACAAAGCTAGTGGAAGTGATGGAATTCCAGTTGAGCTATTTCAAATCCTAAAAGATGATGCTGTGAAAGCGCTGCACTCAATATGCCAGCAAATTTGGAAAACGCTTGCTCCTTGGAAGAAAATTATGACCAACCTGAACAGCATATTAAAAAGCAGAGACATCACTTTGCCAACAAAAGTCCATCTAGTCAAAGCTGTGGTTTTTCCAGTAGTCATGTATGGGTGTGAGAGTTGGAGTATACAGAAAGCTGAGCGCTGAAGAATTGATGCTTTTGGACTGTGGTGTTGGAGAAGACTCTTGAGAGTCCCTTGGACTGCAGGGAGATCCAACCAGTCCATCCGAAAGGAAATCAGTCCTGAATATTCATTGGAAGGACTGATGCTGAAGCTGAAACTCCAGTACTTTGGCCACCTGATGCGAAGAACTGACTCACTGGAAAAGTCCCTGATGTTGGGAAAGATTGAAGGCAGGAGGAGAAGGGGACAACAGAGGATGAGTTGATTGGATGACATCACCGACTCAATGGACATGAGTCTGAGCAAGCTCCGGGAGTTGATGATGGACAGGGAGGCCTGGCGTGCTGCAGTCCATGGGGTCACAAAGAGTCTGACACGACTGAGTGACTGAACTAACTAAAACAGTTACTTTGCACTTTGGACTCAATTATTAGTCTCTTGACATCACGAACCATTTTATAAAAGGAACTTTCTCTTTGGTTTCTCTAGCCCCATTCACTGCTTCTCCTTCCCAAAGCCACCAGTTTTCTCCTACCAGCAGTTTTGATCCATCTTGCTTCTTCCTAAAATGAACATATGATGTTACCATTCTTAAGCTCAAAAACCTTCAATGAATAAACAAGGTGCAGAAAAATGTGTATGATATGCCTTTCTTTCTGTAAAAATTGAATGTAGTATATGTGCTTATGCATTATAGACTGCCTCAAGAAAGCTATGAAAGTTACACTGGTTGGTTTCTAAGAGGGAAGCTAGATGACTGAAGTGAGAAAAAGACAGATTTTTCCTATTATATTTTATTTTGTTTGAATTATTTTATATATGTAATTATGTTTATTCATTTTAAGTAAAAAGGAAAGATTTTAAATAAGTATGGAATAAGTTATAAGAGTATGAACTTGGTATTCAGGAACCTTCTACTCTATGGCTCCCTTTTCCCTTTTGTTTCCAGCCAGGATGCACGTCACCTGGGCGGTGTTTAGCAGAATTTTCAGCATGGTCTTGGTTGTTACAGAGTCTGGAGATTACTACCAGTATTGACTCAGGGTCCCAGAATTCTGAATTTCCTGTAGTGCTTAGTGTGGTTCTACCTAAAATGCCTTTAGGCCACCTTTGAGCATCATTTTTCTCCCTAGTGAATCTAATATTTTATCCATTCTTTGATTTTGTGTTCTACATAAGTTTTAGTTTTCCTGTTCCTTTGATGTGCCATTCTTTCTGTACTGAATATCTTTTTTGTTCATCTTGTCTGGTCAACCTGTATTGCCTGTTTTTAGGTATTTATATGTGTAAATTATATTTCACTTGAGATTTTGAACTAATTATGGGGAGAGACATACTTCCTGGTAAATTTTTGTAATCTTTATGAAGTTTGACTCTGTGTGTTAGTCTGTTAATCTCTGAGAGCTTGAAATTGAGTTTCATTGTTTCAGGTAATGGTTCCTTTTATATAATGATTACTGTAAAATTAAGTATATTGTGACATTTCTGTTAGTTGAATTTCACTGTTATGATTAGGGGAGAGGCTTCAAAATTTGTCTAATTCCTGAATTTAATATTTGTGATTTTGTATTTAGAATTGTTTGTATTTCTCCACGTATTAGGTATTAACTCCACAAAAGTTGGAATTGTTACGAGCCCAAATACAACAAGAGCTGGAAACTCCAATGAGAGAACGTTTTAGGAATCTAGATGAAGTAAGTAATTTCTATTTATATTTTCATTAGACTGTGAAAGGCTTGATGAGAAAAGCATCATTTTTCTACTCAAAAGCCCTGCAGTGGCTTCCATTCTTACTCAAAGTCCTTATAGTGCCCTTCAAGACTGCACAGGATAAGACCCTGTTCTTCCATCCACATTAACCTTGTTGGTGTTGGCACTCTAGAAATGGTGCCATTCGAGGCTTTGCCATAGCTATTACTCCTGCCATGTATCTCTTGGTTAACTTTCTCATCTTCAAGGCAGCTGAAATTTCGCCTTCCCAGTGAGGCCTACTTTGACCTACTGCCTCCATTTAATATTGCAGCCTGACTTTCCCATCAGTCTTTAGATGTTTGGATGCCCATTTACTCTGCTTTACTTTTAATTTTTCTTTAATATTTATAATCTTCTGAATATGCTATATGTTTATTGTATTTGTTTTAAAATTTTTCTCTTTACAACTGCTAGAATGTAAGTTGCATGAGAAGAGGAACCTTTATCTGTTTTTGTTGACTGTTATAGTCCGAGTTTTTGAAACTCTTAGCATACAGCAGGTGCTCAATTAATGTTTGTTGAATGAAAGAATGAATTTCAAGCAACCTCAGAAAAGTAAAAATTTGTTAGTTTTTCTTCAAATTGAGATGTCTCCTCATATGCAATGTTAGTATAATGTGACGAATTGTTTAATAAAGGAACAGGAAAAGATGACAAATACTGACTATATTAGGTAACTATGCTAGACATTTTATATGTTACATTATTTAATAAATATGCTGAATCTTACAGATGCAGATGAATATTGTCCCCTTCACAATGGACCCCTTTGGAAAGTTGTAGTCTAGTGATACTGCCATTGCACAAAATAGTTGTGGAATCCTCTTTTCTAAATGATTTTCTGGCTTGATAAAGTCATTTTTTGAATATCATCCTTGTTGGTAACCAAAGCATTACAGTTTAGTAGTAGTAAACTATTTTTTGGACTCCAAAATTACTGCAGATGGTGACTGAAGCCATAAGATTAAAAGACGCTTACTTCTTGGAAAAAAAGTTATGACCAACCTGAACAGCATATTAAAAAGCAGAGACATTACTTTTTCCAACAAAGGTCCATCTGGTTGAGGCTGTGGTTTTTCCAGTAGTCACGTATGGATATGAGAGTTGGACTATAAAGAGCACTGAAGAATTGATGCTTTTGGACTGTGGTGTTGGAGAAGACTCTTGAGAGTCCCTTGGATTGCAAGGAGATCCAACCAGTCCATCCTAAAGGAAATCAGTCCTGAATATTCATTGGAAGAACTGATGCTGAAGCTGAAACTCCAATACTTTGGCCAACTGATATGACGAACTGACTCATTGGAAAAGACCCTGATGCTGGGAAAGATTGAAGGCAGGAGGAGAAGGGGACGACAGAGGATGAGATGGTTGGATGGCATCACCAACTCAATGGACATGAGTTTGAGTAAACTCCGGGAGTTGGTGATAGACAGGGAGGCCTGGCGTGCTGCAGTCCATGGGGTTACAAAGAGTCGGACACAACAGAGAGACTGAACTGAACTGAGTAGATTTAAATTTGGGATATAACAAAATCACTTAAACCTGAGTTAGATGATCAAGTTAAGTGAAAGGATTTTTTTTTTAATCAAAGTATGTCCATAATAAAATCATGAAACCCACTTTCTTGGTCAATAAACTGACTTAGAAATCTTTCAACTGAAGATTTACAGTGAGCAGAGTATTTTAGGAGGCATGCTTTCCTTACTAATTTCTTGATGCATGTTGAAATAGTGTCTCCCACTTCTTCTTGCTCTGTTGCCTAAGTTTTTGTTGGGATTCAGAATGCCATCAACTTTTTAGTGTTAGGGAGCAGAATTGGATCATAGGTATTGCATGTGTTGTTGGTTAGTCAGGAGGGTTGATGTTATACTTGAGACTGGTGTGTTGACTTGGACTATCATTATAACATTTGATTGAACCTTAGGTTACTGTGCTAGGCATTCAAATAACTATTTACATACTTAGAATTCATCCTTTCTGACTTTTAAGGGGGTATTTCATGTTATAGAATTAGTTTTTATTTTTATTATTTTTAAAAATTCAAATGTAGTTGCTTTACAATATTGACTGTACAGCAATGTGAATCAACTGTATGTATACGTATATACCCTTATATACCCTCCTTTTTGAGCTTCCCTTCCACTCCCACCCCCCATTCCATCTCTTTAGGTTATCACAGAGCACTGAGGTGAGCTCCCTGTGCTATATAGAAGCTTCCCACTAGCTAGCTATTTTACACATGGTAGTGTAAATACTTCAGTGCTACTCTCTCATAGAATTAACTTTTAAAATCTTTTGAAAGGTGTGCTACATTCTTAAATATTATTTTATTAAGCCCAGAAGTCAAAACTTGGGACATGCTACACATTTCTATTATGAGAATCAATGAGGAAATGAGATTAATGATAATTTGCTTTATTAATACCTTTTCAGGAGTGTGCTAATTCTGTTTGTAGCATTCTTGTCATGAGGACTTTTCCAAAGTTTGTTTATACTTCTGTTAAACTTATTTTTTACTTTTAGATTGGCTTTCAGTATAAAACAGTTTAAATTTTTTGCAAAAGTGATTTTTGAAGTAACTATAAGTTTCGTTTTTAAATTTGTGATAAATTACAATCTTTTTAAATTTAGGAAGTAGAAAAGTATAGAGCTGAGTATAATAAGCTTCGCTATGAACATACATTTCTCAAATCAGAATTTGAACACCAGAAAGAAGAATTTGCACGTATTTTAGAAGAAAAAGAAATAAAACACAAATCAGAGGTGAGTGACTGATTATCCTGGTTTAGTCGTTATGCTACTAATCAATAAAATTTTATGATTATATATTTTTTGTGAATCCCAACTTAGAGCTGATTGCATAATTGTTTTATTGGCTAATAATTATATGACTAATATTTGTCATTATTTTCATCTGCTCTGTAGCAGCATTTTTCTTGTGAATGTTCTTTTTTGACTTAATTTTTCTTCTTTCCCTCTTTCCTTTTTCCTCAGTAATGGAGATGCATAACCACAGAGACAAACTTCTCTTTGCAAATACAGTTTATCTGTGTGATTGCTTGGTTAGCAGTGTCCCCTTCTACTTATTAAAATCAAAGCATATTCAGGAGAGCTCTGGCTGTCAGCTGATGCTCCTTATTTCTACTGATAAAATTAAGGAATTTATGCCTTAGGGAGTGCCCATCATCCCCAAGATTGTGCCCCTCACCATCACTGTGTTCTTTCTGACATCTACAACCGTAACAATGCCTGTAGTCTACAACCGTATTGTGTATCCGTTGAGTTAGGTGGCCTCTGTGCTCATTTTGTGGATTGACTCCTAAACTTGCCAAAAATGAAATTTGTGTTTCTTATTCTTCATGTTATTTTTAGGTGATTTTTCAGGATGGAAAGAGAGAGGTAATAGTTTTATCCTGCTATGTTCCCTGGTGGCTCAGATGGGAAAGAACCGGCCTGCAATGCAGGAGACCCAGGTTCAATCCCTGCATGGGGAAGATCCCCTGGAGAAGGAGATGGCCACCCACACCAGTATTCTTGCCTGGAGAATTCCATGGACAGAGGAGCCTGGCAGGCTACAGTCCATGGGGTCGCAAAGAGTGGGACAAAACTGAGCAACTAACACACTTTCATTCAAATAAGAATTTAATGCTAGTTGAATTTATAAAAAACTGCTTGTTGTCTGTAGTTATGGGGAGTGTTCTGTGTACAAACACATCTTCATCATATATTTATTGCATTGTCTTTATTTGGAATTAAGAGCTAAAATATACTGTCCTTCCTTTAACATTTACTAGTTAGATCAAACTGATTTCTTTTTATTAGTGAGCAAATTGCTCCATGATTATTTGAAATGTAAGAGGTTGAATGAACTTCAGATTATTTGAGTCCATTAAGAATTTGGTACTAAAAAACTAAAAATAATTATAATAGTCTTTTTCATTAAAAAATTATTTATGGCTTTTTTTTTTTTTAAACATTGGATCTCACTTCTGTTATGGTCAGTGAGATGGGGCAGGACTGTCTTATTTTCTCCATTTTAAATGGAGACAGTGAAGCACAAGATAAGGGACTTGCCCAAAGTTTCACAGAAACTCATTAGCCAAGTTAACAGAACTCTGGTACCCCAACTCCCAGCCCAGAGTTTTAAATTTGAAATTACTAATGATTTGAGGTTGCCGTGTTAATTAGGGGCCATCTACCACTGTAATGTTGTAGAGAAATGAGTTGATTTATATAAGATTTTGAATACGTTTAAGGGAACTACATATAAAATTTTTCCTCTGGGAAAAGGAATGCTAAAAATTTCAAATTTAAAATGTAGATTTAGTATGTTGAAGAGTAGCTACTGAAATTAAAGATAATGATGCTCTCTTTTATACTTTGCTTTTAAAATCTAATGTTGGTTGATGTTTATCTGGTAATGATTATTTGTACTCTCTTGTTTCTTAGTTTTATCTTTTTTCTTTTAAAGAATGAAACCTGCATCTGAAATCTGATGGCTGTTCTATTTTTCATCAAATGATAATCATTAAAAATTTTAAGATGCCAGTGGCATCATTAATTTTCTAATTGGAGTGTCTTATGACGTTCTTAGAAATCTGGACATAAATGGCTAGCTCTATGCCATGATTAGTAAAAGCTGGAAAAGTAAAACTTTCTAATAAGGCCGAAATTCTCTTCTTTCTACTTCCCAGTTGATTATGCAGGAGCGGTATTAATTAGTGGATAATTGGGTGTCTGCTTTCATTCCATCACTTATCTTTACACTCCAATTTCTCTATACAATTAAAGTAAAAGCTAGCGAGATGATGTGGATTGCAAAACAGCAGTAAAACTTCAAAGTAAGGCCTCCCCTTGCCATCTATCAATTTTATAATTTTAACTGGTATAAAATATATTATCTTGGTGTATTAAAAATAATTGGATTTTCTTGCATTAATTAAGGACTCACACAATACTTGTACATTTTCACTTCTATTCTTTAGTGTTTTGGTTCATATGGTAATACTTGAAGATTTTGTTATTAGTGTTTTCCTGAAGAGCACTAGGAATTCACATTTTCCTCATGATATTTTAAATTTTAAAAATTACATGAAAGAAGATATCTTATGAAAAAGATATGTCGTGATTTCTTACTGTGTTTTACTGTATTAAGTGCATTTGACATATTAAGTCTGGGATTTTATACAAATGAAATTCTGAAGTTGCATACATTATTATTTGAAAGCGGTACTACTGTGTTTTCATTTTATTAGGACTCTGATTTTATATTATTCTGCAAATAGTAATGAAGAGCAATACAGAGAGTTTTAGGTTCAGGTGATTGTGATGTAGGCTGAATGAGTGAAAGAGTAATCCAGTGAAGAAGTATTAAGATCTTGAGAGAGGGCAATGAGCACCGCACCATATGAAAAACTGATATAATACATAATGACAGGTCTCTGAGACTATTCCATCATGTGTCCCAAACTGGATGTGCTCTACCTTGGCTTATGTAGGGATCATGAGAAGCCAAAATTCCTATGGCAAAAAGGAGAACTTTTCTGGGTCTCTGTTACCACATGGTCTTTTTTCCTTATAGCACTGGTAGCAGGAGAACTGATCATGCCTCTTTGTTTGGGTCCTTAGGCTGACACATCATAATCAAGTTGGTAGACATCATTAAATCTCTCAGAACACTTTTGTTCTGGTGGGTTCTAAAGTTCTATCTGAAGTGCTGCTTTAGGTCCAGGTGTTTCATTTATTTAAAATATTCCAAATTCTCTAATTTACACCCTTCTCAGATTACTCTGAACTACATTATAATAGACAAAAGTGATGGGACCACATGCCATGATCTTCGTTTTTTGAATGTTGATTTTTCAGTTCAGTTCAGTTCAGGTGCTCAGTCGTGTCCGACTCTTTGCGACCCCATGAATCGCAGCACGCCAGGCCTCCCTGTCTATCACCAACTCCTGGAGTTTACTCAGACTCATGCCCATCAAGTCGGTGATGCCATCCAGCTATCTCATCCTCTGTCGCCCCTTTCTCCTCCTGCCCTCAATTCCTCCCAGCATCAGGGTCTTTTCCAATGAGTCACCTCTTCTCATGAGGTGGCCAAAGTACTGGAGTTTCAGCTTCAGCATCAGTCCTTCCAATGAATACCCAGGACTGATCTCCTTTAGGATGGACTGGTTGGATCTCCTTGCAGTCCAAGGGACTCTCAAGAGTCTTCTCCAACACCACAGTCCAAAAGCATCAATTCTTCAGCGCTCAGCTTTCTTCACAGTCCAACTGTCACATCCATGCATGACCACTGGAGAAACCATTGGCCTTGACCAGATAGACCTTTGTTGGCAAAGTAATGTCTCTGCTTTTTAATATGCTATCTAGGTTGGTCATAACTTTCCTTCCAAGGAGTAAGCGTCTTTTAATTTCATGGCTGCAGTCACCATCTGCAGTGATTTTGGAGCCCAAAAAAATAAAGTCTGACCCTGTTTCCACTGTCTCCACATCTATTTCCCATGAAGTGATGGGACCAGATGCCATGATCTTAGTTTTCTGAATGTTGAGCTTTAAGCCAACTTTTTCACTCTCCTCTTTCACTTTCATCCAGAGGCTCTTTAGTTCTTCACCTTCTGCCATAAGGGTGGTGTCATCTGCATATCTGAGGTTATTGATATATCTCCCAGCAATCTTGATTCCAGCTTGTGCTTCTTCCAGCCCAGGGTTTCTCATGATGTACTCTGCATATAAGTTAAATAAGCAGGGTGACAATATGCAGCCTTGACATACTCCTTTTCCTATTTGGAACCAGTCTGTTGTTCCATGTCCACCTCTAACTGTTGCTTCCTGACCTGCATACAGGCTTCTCAAGAGGCAGGTCAGGTGGTCTGGTATTCCCATCTCTTTCAGAATTTTCCACAGTTTATTGTGATCCACACAGTCAAAGGCTTTCGTGTAGTCAATAAAGCAGAAATCGATGTTTTTCTGGAACTTTCTTGCTTTTTCGATGATCCAGTGGATATTGGCAATTTGATCTTTGGTTCCTCTGCCTCTTCTAAAACCAGCTTGAACATCTGGAAGTTCTCGGTTCATGTATTGGTGAAGCCTGGCTTGGAGAATTTTGAACATTACTAGCGTGTGAGATGAGTGCAATTGTGCAGTAGTTTGAGCATTCTTTGGGATTGCCTTTCTTAGGGATTGGAATGAAAACTGACCTTTTCCAGTCCTGTGACCACTGCTGAGTTTTCCAAATTTGCTGGCATATTGAGTGCAGCACTTTAACAGCATCATCTTTCAGGATTTGAAATAGCTCAACTGGAATTCCATCACCTCCACTAGCTTTGTTCGTAGTGATGCTTTCTAAGGCCTACTTGACTTCACATTCCAGGATGTCTGGCTCTAGGCGAGTGATCACACCATCGTGATTATCTGGGTCATGAAGATCTTTTTTGTATAGTTCTTCTGTGTATTCTTGCCACCTCTTCTTAATATCTTCTCCTTCTGTTAGGGCCATAACATTTCTGTCCTTTATCGAACCCATCTTTGCCTGAAATGTTCCCTTGATATCTCTAATTTTCTTGAAGATATCTCTCCTCTTTCCCATTCTGTTGTTTTCCTCTATTTCTTTGCATTGATTACTGAGGAAGGCTTTCTTATCTCTCCTTGCTATTCTTTGGAACTCTGTATTCAAATAGGAATGTCTTTCCTTTTCTCCTTTGCTTTTCACTTCTCTTCTTTTCACAGCTATTTGTAAGGCCTTTTCAGACAACCATTTTGCCTTTTTGCATTTCTTTTCCGTGGGGATGGTCTTGATCCCTGTCTCCTGTACAACGTCACGAACCTCCATCCATAGTTCATCAGGCTCTCTGTCTATCAGATCTAGTCCCTTAAATCTATATCTCACTTCCACTGTATAGTCATAAGGGATTTGATTCAGGTCATACCTGAGTGATCTAGTGGTTATCCCTACTTTCTTCAGTTTAAGTCTGAGTTTGGCAATAAGGAGTTCATGATCTGAGCCACAGTCAGCTCCTGGTCTTGTTTTTGCTGACTGTATAGAGCTTCTCCATCTTTTGCTGCAAAGAATATAATCAATCTGATTTTGGTGTTGACCATCTGGTGATGTCCATGTGTAGAGCCTTCTCTTGTGTTGTTGGAAAAGGGTGTTTGCTATGATCAGTGCGTTCTCTTGGTAAAACTCTATTCGCCTTTGCCCTGTTTCATTCTGTACTCCAAGGCCAAATTTGCCTGTTACTCCAGGTGTTTCTTGACTTCCTACTTTTGCATTCCAGTCCCCTATAATGAAAAGGACATCTTTTTTGGGTGTTAGTTCTAAAAGGTCTTGTAGGTCTTCATAGAACCGTTCAGCTTCAGCTTCTTTAGCATTACGGGTTGGGGCATAGGCTTGGATTACCATGATATTGAATGGTTTGCCTTGGAAACGAACAGAGATCATTCTGTCGTTTTTGTTTTTTTTTTCCCATTTATTTTTATTAGTTGGAGGCTAATTACTTTACAATATTGTAGTGGTTTTTGTCATACATTGACATGAATCAGCCATGGATTTACATGTCATTGGTCGTTTTTGAGATTGCATCCAAGTACTGCATTTTGGACTCGTTTTTTGACCATGATGGCTACTCCATTTCTTCTAAGGGATTCCTGCCCACAGTAGTAGATATAATGGTCATCTGAGTTAAATTCACCCATTCCAGTCCATCTTAGTTTGCTGATTCCTAAAATGTCGACGTTCACGCTTGCCATCTCCTGTTTGACTACTTCCAATTTGCCTTGATTCATGGACCTAACATTCCAGGTTCCTATGCAGTATTGCTCTTTACAGCATCAGAGCTTACTTCTATCACCAGTCACATCCACAAGTAGGTGTTTTTGCTTTGGTTCTGTCTCTTTATTCTTTCTGGAGTTGTTTCTCCACTGATCTCCAGTAGCATATTGGGCACCTACCGACCTGGGGAGTTCCTCTTTCAGTATCCTGCCATTTTGTCTTCTCATACTGTTCATGGGGTTCTCAAGTCAAGAATACTGAAGTGGTTTGCCATTCCCTTCCCCAGTGGACCACATTCTGTCAGACCTCTCCACCGTGAACCGACCGTCTTGGGTGGCCCCACACGGCATGGCTTAGTTTTATTGAGTTAGACACGACTGTGGTCCTGTGATCAGATTGGCCAGTTTTCTGTGATTATGGTTTTAGTGTGTCTGCCCTCCGATGCCCTCTCGCAACACCTACCATGTTACTTCGGCTTCTCTTACCTCGGACGTGGGGTATCTCTTCGCGGCTGCTCCAGCAAAGCGCCGCCACTGCTCCTTACCTTGGGTGAGGGGTATCTTCTCACGGCCGCCCCTCCTGACGTTGAATGTGGAGTAGCTCCTCTCAGCCCTCCTGCGCCCCGCAGCAGCCGCTCCTTGGAGGTAGGGTTGCTCCTCTCGGCCGCTGCCCCTGACCTCAGAAGTGGGGTAGCTCCTCTCAGCCGCCGCCCCTGCAAGCCAGCTTTTTCACTCTCTTGTTCACCTTCATCAAAAGGCTCTTTATTTCCTCTTCCTCTTTTGCCATAAGGGTGTTGTCATCTGCATATCTGAGGTTATTGATATTTCTCGTGGCTATCTTGATTCCAGCTTGTGCTTTATCCAGCCGGGCATTTCTCATGATGTACTCTGCGTATAAGTTAAATAAGCAGGGTGACAGTATACAGCCTTGACATATTCCTTTCCCAATTTGGAACCAGTCCATTGTTCCATGGAGAAGGAAATGGCAACCCACTCCAGTATTCTGGCCTGGAGAATCCTGTTGACAGAGGAGCCTGGTGGGCTGCTGTCTGTGGGGTCGCACAGAGTTGAACATGACTGAAGTGACTTAGCATGCATGCATGCATTGGAGAAGGAAATGGCAACCCACTCCAGTATTCTTGCCTGGAGAATCCCAGGGACAGAGGAGCCTGGTGGGCTGCCGTCTGTGGGGTCACACAGAGTCTGACATGACTGAGGGACTTAGCAGCAGCAGCAGCAGCTGCCATTGTTCCATGTTTGGTTCTAACTGTTGCTTCTTGACCGCACTTCTTAGATTCATTTATAGCAATGTGAGCGATCAGTTGTCTCTTGGGCCGTTTTGGCTCAAGCTGCAGAGCATTATTTTAAGTCCTTTTGGCTTAAAGTGAGCCTTCTAAGCTCATCCTGGCTAAAACAACCCCTGGTGGTGTTTATAGATGTCGTTTTTAACTTTATTTCTCTCTTTCTCTTTTTTAAACAACTGAATTTGTTTTTTAAAGTTAAATCCTCTAAAGAAACCCTATACATAAAAGGGGGAGCTGGTATGGTTAACAACAAAGATTTGTTAGTGGTAGTAGTTGGGGATAGGGAGTTGGAGAGATCAGCAAAGGGAAAGAATGAGTTTTACTCTGATTACTTGGACCCTCATTCCTGGAGGTATGGGACCTCTGAAGTGTGTTAGAGGTTAGGAAGCAGCTTGAAATCTCCTGATGCTGAGGTTCATGGGATCCAGTTCCAATGGTTGGCATGAATAAGAAGACTTTCTGTTCAACAAGTTCCCTGGTGATTTGTCATTACCCTGGGGTAGTGATTTTCAGTTCTTTCTTGCATCTGAGAATTAAGAACTAGGCCATCACTACAGCTGGGGCTTTAATAAATTCTCAGCTGTCATTAAAACTCTCATCAGTCACATTTGTAGTTAGTAATATGGACAAGCAGCTTTTTTTGTAAATTAAGTTGCCTTGGAATAGATGATTTTATTAGTGTAGATATAGCCAAAGAATTACTGTCACATGAGGAAAAGCTTAGGAGTAATCAGCATATTGATCTTGTGTAAGCCTCTATAATGTTCTGATGAATTTTTAAAATACTTGACATATTTTAAATTATTCTGTAGTGTTATTTTTAATTTTGAACTTTAGCTAGCATCTGATGAAGCCCTGTGCTAAACACCATGAGGAGATGGAGGGAGAAAAATAGGACAGGGTCCTTGCCCTCACATTTGAGTTGTGCCAGGTACAGAATGAAGAACGTGACATTTTAGGATTTTTTTTCCTTTCCTTTTTCATTCACCACCTGAGCTTTTTTGTTTCGTATTGTGAAATTTCAAATTTTAATTTGCTGACTTGTAACATGTTTATGGCTGAAAATTTAAGGTTGTATATTTTCTTTCAAATTATTATTAGATTGCAAGATTGGAGGAAGATAAAGAACTCCTTAACCAGTTGCACAGTGTTGATCCCACAAGAGAGGCCAAACGAGTGGACCAACTTGTTCGAGAAAAAACCCATTTGAATCAGAAATTAAAAAGTTTAGAAGCTGAAGTAGCAGAATTAAGAGCTGAAAAAGAAAATTCTAGTGCTCAGGTGGAAAATACCCAGAGAATTCAAGTGCGGCAGTTGGCTGAGATGCAGGCTACAGTCAGATCCCTGGAGGTAAGGTTTTAATTGCTTCCCGGTAGACTATGGCATCCTTTTTCTTTTTTTTTTCTTGAAGTGCAGTTGACAGACCTTTGATTTTTAGAGCATAAATACATGCTCACCACTTTAATGCTGACGCATTTGTGGAATCCCAAGAGTAGATATACTTTCTGTAAAGAAAAAAGCTCTTGATTGAAGCAATAGCTATGCTACCACATTTACAAAGGGATTATTTGTTCTTTGTGAGTCATGTCACCTAGCTGAAATGTTTTAACTCTTATAATGCCACAGAGTAGAATATTCAATCATTTTTTTAAAAATTGAGTTTCTGAAGACTAAAATCATCTCAAACCAGAAAGAGCAATTTATTTCTAGTCATTCCCTTACTCTGTGATTTAAGATCTTAAAATCATAAATCCTGTTTCAACAGAAATACTGCACTTATGTATCTTATGACAGCTTCATGCCAGAGTAACAAAATTCAGCTTGGCTACTAATGCATATAAGCCTTTACTGAAGTATTCCTAAATTCATTAGAGAAAGAAAAGAGCTGTCAGAGCTACATTACTACTCTTAGAGGTATTCTCCTATGAAGTTCTTGGTTTCCATTGTTGGAAAGGAAAAACTTTTCCTTCATCCGCTTAGGTTCAGTGCTTGAGGATTGTGAGTTAAACTGACAACAGACAGATTAGCAAGAGAAAAGGCAGATTTTTACCCCTGTGTAAACAGGAATTCACAGAAAAATGTGACTCAGAGACAATTGTAATTTGGGGCTTATATACCATCTTAATGAGGAAAAGAGACAGGGAGAAAGGACAATTACAGGGAAACAAATGACTTTTAGGAAAGATAAATGGGCCCTTAGGAAAACAAATGGGAGATGTGACAATTTTGTGATGATGTTTGTGTAGATGATTTCTTATCCTGGTGGTGTTGTCTCCTGAGATAGAAATTGGTCTTCCCTGGTCATGAAACCCCTGGGGAAAGGAATTCTAACATTTAACTTCTTTTTAGAGGCTCTGCGTTTAGACAGATAAGAAGAGTTCAAGATAAAAGTTTTTCTTGTGTCTTCTGATTCTCAGAAGACTTGAGCTCAAAGTAATATTTGTGTCACAGTGGCAAATTCTGGACCCCTGTACTATTTTATTTAGATAATGCTTAGTGTCTTACATGAAGCAAACATACTAGTTTCATAGTTTTTAAAAATTTATTTATTTTGAGCAATCTGAAATGTTTTGTTTTCAGAATGTTTCATAATAGTTGTGATTTGAACTGGAGGGAAATTAGTATGCACATAGTTTGTATATAAACTTCCATCTGTAATGTATCTCCTCAGTGACAGAGTAAGTGGGGTGATTGTGTTTTGAGTATAGTATGTGATCTCTGTGTGAAACTTTGTGTTGAGGTCATTTAGTGATTATTTTTAGAACGAATTGAATGATGACACAGGGTGGGAAGTTTATTTGTGATGTTTTCAAAAAAGCCTATGTTTTTATTATTTGTCAGATGAAAATAAGTAAATGGCAGCTATCATGCCTTTCTTTGTTGTTGTTGTTGTTGTTGTTGTTTTGGGTTCTCATTGTGCCTGGAGAGTATCATTTTATATGTGAGGAAATAATTTTTTTGAATTATTTTTAATACACTCCTCATATTTAAGATATATAGGAAATGAGATGTTATAGAACTGAAGCTTATCCTTTAATTGCAAAATGTTTTCATGTTAGCGATTTTGAATAGAAATATTTTTAAAAAGTATTTATTTTTCCCTTTCTAATTAAAGAGTACTATGAGTATTACCAACCAGAAATTTTCTTGACAACTTCATTAAGAATTTTTATTATGTGATGAGGTCAGGAACTGTGGAGTTCTTTGCCCATACTTCCAGAAGCTCCAGATTACTTGAGGATTTTGAAATTTTCATCTCTTGGGTTGTTTCTTTTTTTCTCCTTAATCTCCGTTGATTTTAGATTTTCAGTTCTCACTTTTTAATACCACAAATGAGCCCTCCTGTCTACCTGGTAATATATTTTTTCATATCTTCTATGCACTTTTACCCCTTCAGAATGCTTATTTGAATTATGTTCACAATAATAGTAAATAGGTATCAAATGAGTGTGTTAGGTACACATTCTCTGAGAGAAGTATATGGGTTTTAGCTTGGTGGTAGGGGCTGTTGATAAGTAATTGTCTAGGTAACATTCTTGCATATTTTCTGGAACAAATATCTTTCATTTGAATTCTTCTAATTGCTTTGAGAAAACTTGTTACTTTGGTATATGTTAATGTTGAGGTTTTGAATAACTTGAGGTAGTATGATTATTATATTATTTTTATATAATTGTGAAAAATTATCAGCAAATTTTAAAATATTTTGTTTTAATAAAAGGCTGAAAAACAGTCAGCTAAACTACAGGCTGAACGCTTGGAAAAAGAGCTACAATCAAGCAATGAACAAAACACTACGTTAATTAGTAAATTGCATAAAGCTGAACGGGAAGTAAATACATTGGCCAGTAAAGTAAGTTGTCCTCAGTATTTGCTTTATTCTTTAGAATGCTTGAGACTGTATAATGACAAAGGAATTTTGTGTTTAAGTAGCTTAGTTCTCTGGAGAAGGCAATGGCACCCCACTGCAGTACTCTTGCCTGGAAAATCCCATGGACGGAGGAGCCTGGTGGGCTGCAGTCAATGAGGTCGTGAAGAGTCAGACACGACTGAGCGACTTCCCTTTCACTTTTCACTTTCATGCGTTGGAGAAGGAAATGGCAACTCACTCCAGTGTTCTTGCCTGGAGAATCCGAGGGACGGGGGAGCCTGGGGGGCTGCCGTCTGCGGGGTCGCAGAGTCGGACACGACTAAAGCGACTTAGCAGCAGCAGCAGCTTAGTTCTCCACGTTGAAGTCTCTTTTTTGGTCTGATTCTGCCTTCCAAATACATGTGGAATTTGGCCATTCTGACCTCCTCATTGTGACCACTCTAGTCCAGTTTCTAGATTAGTCTCCCGACTTGCTCTCTTTACCCTGTCAGAGCTTTGTGTGATTTGGTCTCTGCAGTCTTTTCCCCAGTCCTCACAGTCTGTTTTCCCTCCTGCTCACTTTGCTCCAGCCTCACTGGTCTTTCTCACTCTTCTTGGATCAGGTTTCTACCTCAGGGCCTTTGTGCTTGCCTGCCTTGCATGATCTTCACTCACATATGTATATTGCTTTCTTCCTCACCTATTTCTGATGTTGCCTTATCAGAGAGAACTTTCTTTTCTTCACTTAGTGAGATACCATCTTCCCTTTCCCTCTTCCTCCACCTTACTCTTTGTCTTTTTTATCTGCTTTATTTTCCTTCATATGTCTTAACACCATGTGATATATTTGTTTATTTTTGTGTTTTCTTTCCCTTTTCCTTCAATCGAATATAAGCTCTAAGAGAACTGGGACATTGCTTTTGTTACTGTTAGATCTTAGCTCCTGGAACAGCGCTGGCACACAGTACTCAGTAAACATTTGTTAAATGAGTGAATCAACAGCATGATCTCCTTTTTTTTTTTAAAGAATATAGTGGTTTGAGCATACAGTATTCTCAGAAATTTAGAGGTTTTTTCCTCCTTCAAAGGCAGTATATATAAGGAATCCAGTAACCAGAAGTAGGATACCAATGATGAAAGTACTTTATAGAATACTGTAGTGAATATCAGCACTGGGGGGAGTCAGACATATTCATATTACATTTCTTCCCCTTACTAGCTGTGTGATCTTAGGCAGTTTACTTTCTCTATGAAGATTTTAGCATTTTCTTTTATGAAACAAGACTAATAATACCTTATAGAGTGTGGCAGAGATTAAATGAGATATTCCACACTTAGATATAAAACACTTAGCATAAGACTAATATATAATCACCTGACTATACCTATATTAGTAGTACTTGGGGCAGCTCTAAGAACTTGAAAATAAAAAACTGATTTCTGTTAATGAGATCATGTATTATATTTCTATTAGAGTAATGTAAAATCACCTTAAAAACGGTTTCCAGACCATAGGGAATTTACCATAGTCTGGTAGAAATATGTGGACTTATCTAGAGGAGTGATGTATTCATCATAAATTCCTTGTCCAGAGTCAAACAGTGTTTATGACAGAGGAAAGAGATAGTTTTAGTTGGCAGAGTGTGAGTATTCTGTTCCCACCGAAGAGATTATTCTTACTGTGGAAAGGAATACCTCAATGTTTTAAGTTGTGGCTATGAAATAGTCAATTCCTCCCATTCCTTTTGTTCTGATTGCATTATCCTAAGCAGCTTTCTCTGAAATTTTTTGTACAGGGAGAGAATGCACTGGTCCTTCAGGGTTAGAATATTGTAGTTTCCATTACCGTTTTTTCCCATGATTAATAAACTGACTTTCTGGTTTTATAGATCACTTTTTGTAAACTTCAGTAGTATGAACTTTGTAAACTTTAGTAATCTCTTTCTGACCTTGAGAGTTGTCTTTAAGTGTAGTCACAAAATTGGATTTCTGTGTCTGAAAGGCCAAAACCATAATATTAGATATATTAAATACCATCCTTGGAAGATAGTCTACCCAGTTTTTTCTGTGGCAAATACATATATTTTCCACTTTCACACTGTATGTTTATTAACATAGGTTGCTAAGAGTTGCCTGTTTTGTTAAAGGTACATTTGCATTATTTTGCATATAAATGGTCTTTTAAGAACCACCCATCAACTTTAGACAAATCAAGTTTTCATTTGAGATCTTGCATTATAAAAATATTTTGTTGGAAGAATAAATTTTAAAATAATGTTTTAAGCATTGTCACAGTTTTCTTTGCAACTTGAAATTTTCATCAACATTTTGCAGTTGTCACAAATGGTTGTTTGCAATGCAAAGGAACACCTGGGGTGGTTTTGTCTAAATTATTCAGATTTGTAAATGTTAGTTAGGTTTTGAACAGAGTTATGTCATGTAACTATCAATGTCTTGGATTAAAAAGTATTACCAAAGATGGCCTAGAAATAATGATCTTAAAAATATTTTATATTCAGTTAGATAAATTCTTCTGTTACGTCTTGAGGTGTTTGAGCTTTAGGACTCCAATAAAATGTACAGTTTTAAGGAAGTCATCCCACAGAGTTATTATGTAAGTTAATAAGGTCATTCCATCTCTGACCTTTGAAAAAGATCAGAGTTTGAATACTATCTCTTTGGAATTTAGCTGAAGAGCTTCTTGATTAATACATTTTTTTTTTACTATATTTGAATTTCTTGCTTACGCATATTGTTTTCTTGTGTGTGTGTGTAATTTAAGATTCTGAACCCTTATAAAATGCCTATTCTTGCTACTTTGTTATACTTCTTAAAGTTTTATTAATACTAGCTGATATTTTCTGAGTATTAATACTTCTGTTGTGTCAAAAGCATAAAGCAAATTCACAGAGACTAGAATCTACATGGAAAACACATTGTGGAAAAAACAAACAGGGTAGCTTGGCCCTGGGAAGTTAAGAAGACTGTAAATCTTTTCAAATTATGTGCAGTGTTTTAACATTGTATATTTTATTTAAGAAAAGATTCCTGGTTTTCCTAGGGTTTTTTGATGTTTGACTACAAAAGTTAAAACCTAGGAATCTAAAGGCAGAAAGAAACTATTATAGCTATTTGAAATTTAGTTCATATTACTCATAGAAAGTACTTTCATTCGTCATATCTCAGTAATTAATATTCATACAAGTTTTTCCATTTTTAATAAAATAATTCCTTTTAATATCTTTTAGGAAGTTAATTAACCGTTAGTATGAGTGCAGTCATTTTAGGATTTTGGAAATGTGACACTAAAGGAAAACAAACTCATCAGGGTCCTTAGATAAATCTGAATGCCTGTTGCTCGGGCATATACCACTAGTTTAATAATAGTAGTAGTCTGAAGATAATGTCCTGTCTGATGTTGAAGCTGAAACTCCAGTACTTGGGCCACCTGATGCGAAGAGCAGATTCATTTGACAAGACCCTGATGCTGAGAAAGATTGAGGGCAGGAGGAGAAGGGGATGACAGAGGATGAGATAGTTGGATGGCATCACCGACTCAGTGGACATGGGTTTGGGTGGACTCTGGGAGTTGGTGATATACAGGGAGGCCTGGCATGCTGTGGTTCATGGGGTCACAAAGAGTTGGACATGACTGAGTGACTGAACTGAACTGAGTGTTTATTCAGTTTCATTGATGATAGATTAATTGAAAAATACTTTCTCATTTTAGTAAATCTCAGAGTGAATGAATTAAAAATATGATTTTATATATTTTGTAGTTCTTCTCATTAAAATGAAAGATTCTGCAAAAAAACATGGCTCTGATTTTCTACCTCATCTATAAAGCAGCTACAATGTGGTTTGCTAATGAACTGTATGTCATTCTTAACCTTCTGCAGTTAGTGTATAATAGCAGGTTATGATTACATTTGTCAAACAAATTGGACTTTCATTATAACTGTATTTAAATTTTAAAGCATTTATGAATTCTATCCATGAAATTATAAAAACCCAATCTATAGCAAGTTTGAATTTTAAAATGAATACAATTTTTTAGCTGCTCTGAAAGCATTTAAAAACTGCTTTGTAAATATTGTTCTTTGAGAGTTGCTCACATAGAAAAGAACTTCAGGAAGATTTAAAAATGCAAATCTGATGTCAGCACAAGGTATTCATTTTGTGTAGTGTCACTTGCAAATCTGTGGGTTAATTTGGAGGGTTGTGTCTTAGTGTGGTTTTAGCAGTACAAAGTACTTTCTTAATTTGTTTCCTTTCAAAGTGAAGATTTTGCATGAAACCCTGTTATGGTTCCAAGACCTTTCATAGATGGAGTCTTTTCCAGTAAGATACTTCTGTTTCTCATCTTTGCCCTTTGGCTGTAGGGCCTCTTCCTGATTTAGTTCTAACTCCCATCTCTAGTTCTTATAGACTTTGATTGCACTCAAGTAAATTATCCTGTATCCTCCTATTACCACCATCTTATATTTTACATGTTTGCCTTTATATATTTGTGATGTTTCTCCTCTGATTTAATAGTTTGATACAATAGTATAATATGTGAGAATGCAGGCTTATCTAACCTTTATGTCTGTATTGGTTAAATCCTCAATATAGTACTGTACCTAATTTTGGAAACACCTCACCAAAGGGCAGGAATATCGAAACTTAAGAGAGTAGTGCAGATGATTAGAGAGACAAAACTTTCTTCGTTGCTGCTATATCCCCAAGCTTCTCAGACAGTGCTTGGGCATGTAATAGGCGCTCAATAAATATTTATTGAATAAACAAAGGAATACTACTTATGAACTATAATCATTCAACATTCAAAAGGAATGTCTCAGAGAAAAGGCTGTGTTGGTTAACTGTATAGAAAATATTAGTTACATTGACCTTGGCAGTAAAGGTTTAAATTAGATTTATACATTTTGTACTTGTTTAACCTACTAATCAACCTGTATACATGCACACACACACGCACACACAATTTAGTCACCAAATTCAGTGGATTATTCTTTCTTGTCCACTTTGTCTGTCCTTTGCCTCTTAATTGGTTCCTTTCTTTTCAGTTTCTATTTTTTTTTCTTTTCAGTTTCTTGATCCAACACACTTAGAGTTAACTTTCGGAAATAAAGTTGATTATATCACCTTATCAGCTAACAGGATAAACAGTCCTTTTGTATGGCATATAGGTTTATTCCCTGATAGATTTCACACCTTCCTATGCTCTATCTGTAACAAGTTGGTTGTTGTTTTCCGAGCAGACTGTTGATATTCTACTTTTATAATATTTTCTATGCTGTGTCTTATACCTAAAATACCTTCTTGTCACCAGCACTCTTTTTTGGAAGAAGACATCAATATTTCTTCCCTGAAGATGTTTCAGTCATTGATTGTTAGATTTTAGGTACTTGCAGTTAAACTTTTAAAGACCAGATTAAGCCAGATGACCCCATCCAGCTATTTAAAGAAGTGACTCAGTTCTATTAGAAGCAGACTGTTTTCTCAGTGCCAAGTACTGTTTTAGGCACTGAAGCATCTTCCCTCCAGGAAGGTGCCTACACTCTGTACTCGGCTACGAAAGGTTTTTCTCATTTCTCCTAATGTTTTTGGGTTAGCACTTAGTGGTAAGAAAATGACCAATGGTAATTTCAATTTCTGATTATCAACAGGTAAAGGAGCTTAAGCATTCAAACAAACTAGAAATAACAGACATCAAACTGGAGGCAGCAAGAGCTAAGAGTGAGCTAGAAAGAGAAAGGAGTAAAATTCAAAGTGAACTGGATGGTAATATATGATTTCCCGTGCTTTTTACTGTTATTGTCACATATAAATTCAGATTACTAAAATAGATCAAGCTGAATTTTTATTTCCAATTTTAAGATTAATTGAATTTTAATTTTAGAGCACATATGTATTGTTTTTGTTTGTGTGTTAAATGTTCATTCTGTGATGTAACTTAAAAAATCAATCTTACGGTTATATCATAGTTATTTGATTAATACATAAAGTAAGTGAAACTTTATGGATAGGATTCCATATTTCCAGTGTTTATAACTTAAAAGTCTCTTTAGATCATATGATTATTAGTCTCAGATCATTTTAATTCTAAAGAATGTAAGGAACGTAGGTGGGTTTCAGGCCCAATTTTTAAGTCAAAAATTTTTTTTTAAGGTAGATGCTAGGCCAGTTGTTGGGTCTAGTTCAGCCTCAGCTTATTTTTAAACTCCAATTTAGCCTTAGAATGTCCTTATCATCAAGATTTCTCATAATTTATATTGTTCCTGACTTTTCTTAAGTATTTAAATAAGCTGCCTGAACCTGCAGCTGTCATCACATTGGTCTTTAGTTGAACTAGACTCCAGTTTCAAACAGAGCTTATGATGAATGACTGTTTTCATTATTAATTTCTGCTTGATGTTGACTCATGGATTTTCATAGAACTTAGAGTTTGAGAGCCAGCTTTGCATTTTTTAAACTTTGAGTTAGATATGAATTTGTTTTAATTATTCCATATACAAAATACTTGTCATTTCATTACAAGGAAAATTTATGAATTCATTGGACACACTTGAAAGCTTCCAATTTACATTAGAAATCTAACAGTTCTAATAGGTTTTGATTTTATTCACTCTGCTTCCCATCTAGCTTTCTGTGGGATTTAGATTACAGAACCCTTTTAGAAGTATTTAAACCTCTTTTGATATAACCCAGGTCGATGTCCCCAGCTATCAAGATCCAAATGAGTAAATGTATATACCGTTTATTAAGGTTTTTTTGTGTGCATGCTTAATAAAATGACAAATGAAGCCTGAGTAGTAGTCTTTTTCATTAAGAATAACTTGTCAACAAATGTAAAGATCTTTGATATATGTATCAGGAGAGACTTTCTATGTTCTTTTGTCTTACTGACTTATGAATATTTGCTCTTAATTACAATTTTTCTTTTTAATAACATTGAATATAGTAGAGTGTTCTTCTTTAAAAAATACTAGGATTACAGTCAGACAATGAAATTCTCAAATCAGCTGTTGAACACCACAAAGTGCTTTTAGTAGAAAAGGACCGTGAATTAATACGTAAAGTACAAGCTGCCAAAGAAGAAGGTTATCAAAAACTTGTGGAATTACAAGATGAAAAGTAAGTAATTAATTACCTTATTTTGTGTTAATTCTCCTTGCAGATGAAAACATTTTGCTGTCATATCATGCTTATTGTAGTTCTTGTAATGTAATTATCATTTGTTGTTTTAGGCTAGAACTTGAGAGCAGATTAGCGGATTTAGAGAAAATGAAAGTGGAACATGATGTCTGGAGGCAGTCTGAAAAGGATCAGTGTGAAGAGAAATTGCGATCTTCACAGATGGCAGAAGAGTCGGCCAGAAGGGAACTACAGAGTATTAGGTTATATATGCATATATTTTTTAAACTTTATTTTGAAATAATTTCATAGCTAACAAAGCATTGTAAAACTAGTACAGAGTATTCCCATATAATCTTTGCCCAGATCTCTTATATATTTGAATTATTTTGATAACTGTTGAAAATCAGTTGGCCTTATATGTGTGTGTGTCTGTATTCTGCTCTGTTCTATTCCGTTGATCTGTATGTCTGTCTTGACACCAATATCACTCTCTTGACTACTGTAGTTTCATAGTAAGTTTGATTCAGATAATGCATATCTTCTACCTTGTTCTTTTTGTGCAAGATTGTTTTGGCTTCCCTGAGTCCTTTGCCTTTCCACTTAAATTTGAAAATCAGTTTATCACAAAGACTTGTTAAGATTTTGATTGGCATTGCATTGAATCTGTAGCTCAGTTTAAGAAGAGTTGTCATCTCAAGTCTGTCCAGTCAATGAATATGGCTTATCTCTCCATGTACTGTATTTGTGTTCTAAGTTGCTTCAATTGTGTCCAACTCTTTGTGGCCCCATGGACTGTAGCCCGCCAGGCTCCTCTGTCCATGGGATTTCCCAGGTGAGAATACTCGTGTGAGTTACCATTCCCTTCTCCAGGGGATCGTCTCGACCTAGGGATTGAACCCCACATTACTTTTGTCTTCTGCATTGGCAGGTGGATTCTTTACTACTAGTGCCACCAGGGAAGCCCAGAGAACACTGGACTGGAACTCACAAGTTTTTCATTCAACAAACATTTGTTGAGCATATACTATGTGCCAAGCTCAATTCTAGATACTGGGCACTCAGGAGAATGAGATAACTAAGATATACTCTCTGTCCTGAAGAGGACAAGTTCAATACCTAGTGGGGTGGTGTTGAAATGGGAATGATAAGTGGGAGGATCATTATAACCAGGGTACAAGTCCTGGTTTAGGCCTACAGTTTCTTTTCAGCTTTTGGATCAGTGCCTGGCACCGTGCTTGTATGCATGCTTAGTCACTCAGTTGTGTCCAGCCCTTTGCAATCCTTTGGACTGTAGCCTACCTGGCTCCTTTGTCCATGGGATTTCCCAGGCAAGAATACTGGAGTGGGTTACCATTTCCTTCTCCATGGGATTTTCTCTACCCAGGAATCAAACCTGCATCTCCTACATTACAGGCAGATTCTTTACCACTGATTCTACTCTGAAAGCATTTGTATTATATTTGGGTCATCTTTAATTATTGTCATCAAAGTTTTGTAGTGTTCATTGTATATATCAAGCTAATATTGTATTAATTTTAATTCTAAGCATTTTATGTAATTATGAACAGTTATTTAAAAATTTTTTTACTTCCTAATTGTTTATTGCTAACATCCAAGGTCTCCTGCATTGCAAGCAGATTCTTTACCAACTGAACTATCAGGGAAGCCCCTCCAAAAAAGGAAAAAACACACTCATAGTTAGAAATATAGTTGACTTTATGTGTTGGTCTTGAATTCTGTGACCTTACTAAAGTCATGTATTGTCTACTAGCTGCTTTGTGGGTTCTTCATTTTCTAACATCATGTTGTATACCTTGTACTTTCTTTTAGTTTATTTCTTAATTTTTTTGGTTATTTTTTAAGTTGGATATTTACTTCACCTAATGTTCATTCTTTCATTTTTTATTGGTAAAAGTGTCGTGCTGAGAATTTTCTTATTACTGCTTTAAATGTATCATAGAGATTATGATATGCAGTGTTTTAATTATCATTATTTTTTTAGAAATTCTCTAATTTTAATTTGCATCTTTTTACCTAGGAATTAAGAAAATGTGTTAATAGAAGGTGTGGTTGTTTAACAGAAGGTGAAATGAATAGTTTTCTAGGGCTGCCATACATAACAAAATACTGTAGACAGGGGTAGTTTAAACAATGGAAATTAATTTTGTTCTAGTTCTGGAGGTTAGAAGCCTGAGATCCCTGTGTATTAGCAGGTTGAGTTTCCCCTGAGGTCTCTCTTCTTGACTTGAGTGGTTGCATTTTTACTGTGCCCTCATGGGGCCTTTCCTCTACTCATGTATCCCTCGTACCTCCTTCCTCTTCTTATAAGGACACCAGTCTTAGGATTAGGACCCACTCATATAACTTCATTTAACCTTTGTTACCTCTTTAAATGCCCTGTCTCCAGTAAAATCACATGTAAGTTATTGAAGCTTTTTTAAATTTCCAGGTGATAGGCCTTATTTGCTTATTGTTAAATTTTAGTTTTATTGCATTGTGATCAGAGAGTAATTTATCTGTTATTTCTGCTTTATAGGACATACTAATGTTTTCTTTGTGACCTAATATATCAAGACCAGGACTAGGGTAAAGCCAGTGAGGCAATCAGGGTGCAGAAATTTAAGGAGGTACTCTTATGTGTTGACATTGGACTTGCAGGAAATCTGGACTGAGTCTCCTTAAATTTTTTACCCTGGACACCTCTCTTGCCTTCTCCCAGTAATACATGATCAATTTTGTGAGTGTTACAAAAGGACTAGTAAAGAAAGTGCTTAGTTATAGAGTATAAAATTTAGTATATACATCCATAAGGTCTACCTTATTAACTGTGGTGTTCTTCTCCATACTTTTTTATTTTTTGTTCATTTGTCTTGTACTAAGAGTTATATATTAAAGTCTCCTATTGTTTAATGTGCTTCTATATAGAACTATATAGAACTATGACTCGTTACATTTCTTGTAATTTTTTTCTTCATAGGTGATTGCTATATTATTTGGTATATAAATAATTATAACAGTTACACTTATGAATTGTGGCTGTTAGCATTTAAAAGCACTTTCTTTTTGTCATTTTTTTTTTTGGCTTGAATTTCACTTTGATATTATTATTACTCCTGTTTTCTTATTGCTTCCATTTGCCTGATATACTTACTGTTAGTCTGTCTTTTTAAATGTGTCTTTTATGTGTAGCAGACAGCTGGGTCTTGCTTTGTATCCAAACTAGAGACCTTTTTGTTTTAATGGATGAGTTAAGCCTGTTCACATGCAGTGAGCACACATGCAGGAGGAGCGTTAAGAGATCACTTGTTGAGATTCAGACTTATCTTTCTCTTTTTCGTTAGAGGTATTTTGAAGTTTGGGCATTTTCTGTCTTCCATTTATGTGAAAGATGTGATTTTGTGTGGCTTTATTTGATCTTGGTTTTCTGTGTTTTTTTAAGGACATATATATATATGTGTATATATATATATATATTATATGTATATATATATATATATATATATATATATATAAAACATAGAACTAGGCATTTACTGTTATCTTTTGCTACCTAGAAGTCCCCTATATCTGCTTTTTTAAATTCTGAAATCTTAATGACTTTCTAATTATATAGGTTACAGTTGAGAGTTTTTGTTTTTTGTTTTTTTAAATCATGTTCATTAAGCTGTAGGTTATGTTTTGGGACACAGTTTTAAATTTTCATTACCCAGGAAAGAATCACCTCAGGCAAAGATATATGTATTATTTACAAATGTCAGGTTTTATAAGCTATCAATTTAAATGTTAGCTATGACAATTCTAGGATCATAAATCTGTTAGGGATTTTGAGAGCCAGTCTTATGCTACTCTTTGCTTTTATGTGGGTACATATTTTTTTAATGAATCAGGACAGTTTGGCTCTTTTTTAAATCTCTTCTTGACAGTCTCCAGAAAGGAGAGAGAGGGGCCCGCCCTCATCCCAGAAAACTCGCTCTAATGTTTCATCTTATTATGGTCCCACCGTTCGGCCAATTAGAATCCTTTCTGTTAAAATTTAAGCCTGTTTCTCCTGGTTTGGGCTTCTGTTGCTATAGTGATAAAATGTGCAGCAATCATCACTTGAAGACAATAATGAACTTGACCCTTATTTTTTATTCTATATAAAGCAGCTTTCATTCCTGTATTTTTTTTAAATATAAATGATTTTATATTAGCCACTTTGATCAATTTTTGATTCCTCTTCAGTTTCTCCAGGCCATTTATAATGTCTAATGGACCCTAATTTATTAAAATAAGGACCTACTAATCAACTTAAATATATTAATTAGCAGAAGGGTTAATTCACAAAATTTGTGCATTTTTTAATAGTCAATAATTGTGTTTTTCCCATGGCAGTTCTGATCTTCTGATTTATTAAGTCTAGCTATATCAACCAGGTCTATTTTGACCAGTTAATAAAACAATCATCATTGTGACTTGTCTTACTTAGAATTTGTGGCAGGTCAGAAAGAGACTACCTGTGGAGAAAAAGGTTTTGCTAAGGTTACAGAAAGTCTAAAGCATATAAAGTAGAAGTCTCCATTTATTTACACAGTGGGGATTAATCACTTTGGCAGATGCTTTCAACTAATAATTACATTCCAGTCTCTTGTCTTCATTAACATGGTTTCTTCATCGCTAGCCTAAATAATAAAATGATTACTCTAATTAGTATTCTGTATTTGAAAAGGCTATACCCCCCCCACAAATTTGTAAAATTTATAAAGTTACCTGTAAATTAAAAACATGCTAAATAAGATAGCATACCCAGCCAACTTTTGGTTATGACAGTAACCCAGCTTCAGCTAACTCGGCATAACAAAAAGTGGTGGCGGGGTGGCGGGTACTTTATTGGCTGAGATATATTGTGGACAGGACAGGGATTGTGCTGGGCTCAGGGACAGCTGCATCCAGGAACTCAAACGTGCCAGATCAGAGTGATTTCTTCCCTCCTTTCACCTGCCTCCTTTCTTCTTTCCTAACTCCTGTATCTGCTGCTCTTCTGCTGCTTTCTCTGTGAGGACAAGACTGTCTTTAGAGATTAGAGACAGAGTTCGCACTTGATGATTCAAATTAGGAAAATCTGGAAAGACTTTGTGTATGGTTCATATGCCTGTCCCTGGGCCCAGCACTGTGGCCAGAGGGATAGGGCACTGTGACTGCTGAAGTTTTATTGCCTTTTTCTGAGTGCATGGGCATGGTGGGGGTATGTAGACGGACAGGTGGTAAAGTGCAATTTGTTACCACAAGTGGGAAGAGGTGCCTTAAAGAAATAGCATCAGTAACTAACTGAGAGAAAGAGGACTTGATCATTTAAAATTTTTGCAGTTTAAAGCCAGAGCTGTATTTTTCTGTTTGTGGCTTTCTGATTTTTTTCTTAAGTTTTTTAGAAACATTTTAAAAAACTCTCTCCTAATGTATCTTCCTTTCTACTTATTATACTGTATCTTGAGATGAATTATCTGTTGCGTATCATCTTAGTAGGGAGCAGGAGACTTAGACTTGGCCAGTTGAACCAGTTCTGTTACAGAATTTGAACAACAAAATAAGGGATGGAAAAATATGTGGCAGCTTTTGACAGACCAGACAGTTTGTGTGACATGCCCTTGCTTGTAATTCAGGCCAATTACTCTAGCCTGGTTCTGGCTCTCTAGTTCCCTGGCTATTCATAGAGTCTCATGTATTTTCCCAGGAAGGTCCTTGTTTCTTTGCTAATAATGACCAGAGACGATTTCCATCACTCAGGGCAAGAACCTTGGCTTTTAGGAAAAACTGCCTTTCAAAAAACTGGTTCTGAGGATCTTAGACAATAGAGAAATCACAAATACAACTTCTTGTGCTTTCCCTTGGTAGTTGAGACTAACATCAAATGAAGCCAAGAGTTTAAAGTCTAGTTTCTCAGTCATACTAGCCACATCTCAAATGTACAGTAGCCACATGTAGCTAGGCACTATCATATTGGATGTGCAAATTATAGAACATTTCCATCATTAAAGAAAGCTATCAGAAAGTGCTGTTGGACTGTAAGTTCCTTAAAGACAGGATTTTGTCTGTTATTCTCTGGTGTATCTGCAACACTTAGGACTGGGTTCTGTGTTTGTAGGTACTCTGTAAATAGTTATTGAATGTTGAAATGACATACATCAGCTGCCTGTCATAGAAAACTTAGGCAGTAGTCAGCAGAAGAGAACTTTGAAGAGAACTTAGAACAGCTCCATCTCACTGTTACTCCAAATGTTTCCCATTGAACTTTTCTGCAGCTACATACTATGTTGTACTTTGGTCTTCCAGTCTGCCTACCAAATATAGTTTCATTATTTTTATAATTACTTTCAAAGTGTAAAGTATGTGATATCATAGTTTCTCATTCCTCAACTTACCCTTTACCTTTCAACTTCTCCCCGTCAGCATTAACAATTTTTGCTGTAGCCTCTGAAATCTGTCCCATTACCAATAAATTTTTTTATAGTCTCCACAATTTTAAAACACCCCCCTCACTGATAACTTTGTCCTGATGGTATATTGCCTGGCAACATTTTTAAATGAAATTATTTCTCCATCCTCTCTCCTACAACTAAGGGACCAAGAAGAGAAATCACTGTTTGTGAATCCCACTCTTGCTTTCAGACCATTGTTTGAGTCAGTTCGGTTCAGTTCAGTTCCTCAGTTGTGTCTGACTCTTTGTGACCCCATGGACTGCAGCACACCAGGCTTCCCTGTCCATCACCAACTCTCAGAGCTTGCTCAAACTTATGTCCATTGAATCAATGATGCCATCCAACCATCTCATCCTCTGTCGTCCCCTTCTCCTGCCCTCAATCTTTCCCAGCATCAGGGTCTTTTCCAGTGAGTCAGTTCTTCGCATCAGGTAGAGTTTCAGCTTCAACATCAGTCCTTCCAATGAATATTCAGGACTGATTTTCTTTAGGATTGACTGGTTTGATCTCCTTGCAGTCCAAGGGACTCTCAAGAGTCTTCTCCAACACCACAGTTCAAAAGCATCAATTTTTTGGTGCTCAGCTTTCTGGCTTTGCTGGTAAAGAATCCGCCTGCAATTGTTTGACTAACTTTGGTTAAAATGGCCTTTCCTTTGATGTTCCTTGCATCCATCTCATGCCTGTCTTTTTTCCGACCAGTTACTGACATACAGAATATTCCCCAGTGGTCCCTGAGGACTTTCACTTCTGTTTCAGTTTTTCTTTATTTTCTGTCCTTTCCCATCATTCTTATTGACCATACTATTCATATTCTTGACTCTTCTAACACCTTAGCCATTTGTTTATTTTATCTTAATTCTGGCATTCTTCATCTTTATTATAAGCCCTTTCGCTTAGCCGTGGTTTGGAGACCTTGTCATCTCTTAGAGCCAGTCATTTCAGACACTTATTTTTATTTTCTCTTTCTACCCTATTTTCACTGAAGATAATGAAACTGATAGTTCTTGTACTTAAAAAAAAATTCCTCCGGTCTCTTAGGCTGGTTCCCCTGCTGCCATGCAGCTTGGAAACCGTGTCCACTGTCCACCATGCCCTTACTTGTACCTGAGCAAAGGATCCTGGATATGAATTTCTCCCACTTCCTACTATGGGAGAATCCTTGTATCTTTATCCATCCTTTCCTCCCTTTCTATTAAGATTCTTTTCTTCCTTTATATCCAAAGTAAGTAGTGCTTTTCATCCCACCCCTTTATTTCCTCTGGAGTCTTGCTTCAGCAGTTAGCCTCTTCTTCACCTCTGCCTTCTCCGCAGAGTCTTATTTTGCCTGAAAGATTCAGTTCAGATTGCATTTCTCTTATGTAGTCTTTAGTAATCCTTTTATGAAAATTAATTGTACTTTCTTCTGTACTTTGTACTTTTAAAACTTGTTTTCTTTTGGCTTTTCAAAACCTTTGACTATTCAAAACCTTCTAACCATCTTCAGCACTTTTTCAAAATAATATCTACATGTTTTGAACTCTTACTGTTACTGAAGTTTAAGACCATTGGATTTATCCCTGTTAAGGTTACTTTTTGTTCAATTTAAATATCCCTTAGAATCCTAACTATAATGATCTTAAATCAAGGACCAATTTTCTCCTTAAAGAAATACAAATCTCCAGTCAGTTGTGAATTCTAACCCAGAGCTGCTTTAGCAAAGTGAACTGAAGAGAATTATGTAGATCATCTTTTATAGTCTACTGAAATGATATTCTTACCTCTTTCATGTTTAATGATTGTCAGATACTCTGTCATTTTTTGGTTTCTTGGGCTTCGATTTTTGTATGTAGGGCATTTTTGTTTCTCTTCATGTCTACATAATTTATTTAGAAAGTGTTCACTAATGCTTTCATAACTGGGTCTTGTTTCTTAACTGATTTACCAGGCATATCCAAAATCTTGACCAGAGCCAAGATATATTTGAAGCCCCACTTTAACTCTGGACCTGAGCAAGGACCCACAGTGTTTTCTCCTCTGTTTTCATCTTCATGGTTACATAGAAAGAAGCCTTTATTAACTCAGTAACCTAAGGGTACCAAGTTAAGAACACCATAAACATTTAAGGGGAAAATGCACGGGTTTGAGAGCGTCACGTATAGCTCGACTTACAGAATCAGCGTGTGACTGGTCCTGTCAAAGGAGCACAGGCAGAGCAAGACTGGCTCTCTTCCTCTAGAGCGGTTGTTTCTGGCTTTGTGTGTACCTATCTCAGGAGCAGTGTATTTTACGGTTTCTTCCATGTCATATTGTCCAACCAGACGTCTAATCCAAGATTTGAGTTGGTTCATTTAGTCCATCAGCAAATACTTACTGAATCTTTATTAGTGTTTAAAGCACAGCTCTAGGCCCTTGAGAATGTTGTCTTCCCAAGAAGCAGTTTTAATTAGGTTGAAAAGGCATGCTATTAATGCTAAACTATAAAGAGTACGTGCCAAACAAATTATATTTGAGGTAAGTGTTTGAAGGATTTTTAAAAGGGAGGGTTGAGAGCTTATCCTGTCAAAGCTAATTAGTGTAAAGTCTTTCTCATGAGGTTAGTCCTTTGGTCACCAGGGATGCACTGTGTTTTTAAGGTTTTGGCTGAGAATGTATCATTCCTTTTGAAGAGGACACAAATTGTGTAAGTGTTCTTTCATCTCAGGGATGAAAACTCAATTTATTTTACAGAACATAGTATGTTGTCTTCTACTAGATAGTTTTCTTTTAAATTCTGGATTTAAAATCAGTATAATTGTGGCGTAATGAAGTGGGACACAGGAATACTTAGGTATGAGAAGACCTTTGTCCATCTTAATTTGGCTACTTGCTAGCCATATGATTTGGGCCTGACTTAACTAAGCCTCAGTCTTTCTTTCTGTATTATTTGGAATTATAAAGATGACTCTTGATACTTCCATAGAACTATTGTGAGAAATTACTAAACTGGCCAACTTTAATTAAAGGTTGTCTGTTACACTCTGGACGTCATGGTAGGCTTTAAAGATACATTTAGAAGATGTATAACCTAGTGGAATGAAAATGAAGAAGCAGTATATCTGAAAGCATGTTGTAAATTGTGGAACACTGCCTGCCTGTGAGATGGCTCCTCCTGAACTGGACTGCTTTATCTCGCCTTACTAACTAACCCATTGTGCTCTCCTCCACCAAAGCCTTTTGTTCAGGCTGTTCCCTGTGTTTGTCCGAACCCTACCCATCAGAGTTAGATCTCCATGTAGTAATCTCTCATCCTTCTAGATAGAGTTGATTTTTTTATCTTCTCTGTGCCCATAGCTTATAGATTTTTTCATAGTAGAAGTATAAATTTGTTACATTTTATTTATATATGAACACAACTTGGTTGCCTGAAGTCAAAATCTTTGCCTTTGAATCTACCACTTTACATAAAGACAATGCCATGTGTCAATATGAGCACTCAATAAGATGATTGTCTAACTAGTGAAATATATGAACTATGGATTTTTAATAATATCTTTTGTTGGGTTATGACTTTTAGGTTAAAACTTCAACAACAAATTGTGGATATTGAAAATGCAGAAAAAGAAAAAAAAGAAAATTCTGACCTGAAACAGGTATTATTTTAGCAAACATATTGCTTTTATTTTTTTAAGTGCTTCTTTAAATCTGTGTTTTGAATGTATTGGAATTTTATATATAAGAATTCTGAAAATATTTGAATTGATGAGTTGATGAGGTTGATATGTAAAGATAAAGTGTTTAAACCTCTTTAAGCTCTAGTTTATTAAGTTTCTCTTGCTAATTGCTAGTTTTCTTAAAATATTTATATGCTGTGGCCCATGATCAGTTTTTTATTACTATTTATTTACTTATGGCTGTGCAGAGTCTTCGTTGCTTCATGCAGTCTTTCTAGTTGTAGTGAGCGGGGGCTGCTTTCTGGTTGTGATGTGCAGGCTTCTCACTACTGTGGCTTCTCTTATTGTGGAGCATGGGCCCTAGGGTGCTTGGGCTTCAGTAGTTGTGGTGTGTGGGTTAGCACTTGTGGCACGTGGGTTTAGTTGCCACATGGCATGTGGAATCTTCCTGGGACCAGGGATTGAACCCTTGTGCCCTGCATTGACAGTTATATTATTAACCACAGGATCATCAGAGAAGTCCCAAGATCAGTTTTTTAAAATTATATTTTAAAGGACAATATTTTGATATTATGAATTTAAAAAATGAATTAGAAAGATCATCCCTGTTTTGAGTTACTTGTGTGATTGACTTGTAACTTTGCATTTCTTATTCCATGAGCTATTTTTTTATTACATCCCTGTGAATTCTAAAGAATTGTATTTATGGAAGGAAATTCATATTTTAATTAAAATTGTTTGGGTTCAGGAAAGATTTATATGGGCAAAACATATGAGGAGTGAAAATTCCATTTTTAGGATTTATGCTTTGCATATATAGTTATGGTTTCTGAGTCTGAAGTAGGAGGGCATAATGTTTAGTACTCAGAAGTTATCTAGTTTCATTGGCATTGGGCTTTCTGTCATCCTGAAGATATGGAAAAGTACTAAGCTCTTTGAAGGTTGCTTGCTCAGCCATCTATAATACAGATTTAATATTTACAGCTGCAGTTAAAAATACTGAATAGTTCTTCTGGAGAAATTCATTCTAAAATAGAAATCTGAGACATACCTTTTTATTTTTCTGACGATTGCTTTTTGTACCTATATAATTCTGTAGGTGGCTTTGCTGCCATCAGAAAGTAATGGAATTATTTTTTCTTTATTGCATAACGAATCTAGTTTCTTTTGACTCTTGAGTCTTATAATGGATTCTTTTGCTCTGAAATCACTTAAACTCTCTGCCTCCTAACTTCTCTCAGAGAATGGCTTTTAGAGGTAGAAGAAAGTGAAAGAAAAGTGAGAACTTGTTTATTAATTGGTAAAATGTTTTTTCAAGAAGTAGGTATAAATATGTCCCAAATGTGTTATTTGGATAGAACTTAAGAGCAGTGATGTGAATCTCCTAGCCTGTTAATTTGTAACTAGATAATCAACTACTTTTCATGAGAAAAAGTACTCCCAGATAAAAGTAAAGTGGGATAGAGAAGCCTGAGTGACATTTCATAGTTTGATAAGTGGTTCTAGAGGCAAAGGAATCCCTACCATTCATTAGGTTTCTCAAATCATCTTTCTTCTGCCCAACATGATATATAGAATGCTTGAAAACTACTCAGAAACAATGTGAGAGTGAGCCTTTCTGTATTTGATTTCTGACTGTTCAGAGAGCAGAACTCCCTGACGGAGTGCTAATCACAAGGTTTGTGGGAGTATGAGATGGATTTTCTTAGCTGCTTTCCCAGCTCACCTTTTAAAATCTGTTCTTTCCTAGGAGGTTAGGAGACTCATATTTGGATTCTCTTTGCTCACCTCGCTGCTCTCTTTCTAAGGACCCTTCTCCCCATTTCTAGTACCTCTTCTGGACTGCTTATTTGGGCAAGAGGAGAGAGGACTCATTTGCAGATTGAGGAATAAGTTTGTTTATAGTCTCTGGTTATATTAAGAAATGATCCTAATGCTGCTGCTTTTTATTATTTTGTTCCAGGGTATCCCAAAGGGCACATCAGTGGGGTGGGACATTTGTGAGGGAAGATGCTTAGTGTCTTCTATATCTCTCATAGTCTGTTGCATTTGTTTATGTTTCTCTTCTTTTAAGCAAATCAATGGTTTGCAGATCCAAGTGACCTCACTGGCAAAGTCAGAAAATGAGTTGCTGAATTCAAACCAAATATTGAAGGAAATGGTGGAGAGGTTAAAACAGGAATGCCGAAATTTAAGAAGCCAAGCTGAAAAAGCACAACTAGAAGTTGAAAAGTAGAGTTTGCTTTTTTATGTACAAATTGTTTCTTCTTTCTGCTGTATTATATATAGTTCTTTTAACAATGATTCCAGGGTTGAATGTATTTTGATAACTAGTTAAAATACCCCATTGACATGTACAGTGGTTTTAGGTAATGTAGTTTCTGTTTCTAGAGATGAGCTTTTAGAACTCTTGAGATTGCTTTTAAAAAAAAAGAAAAGACCTCTTAAAATTCTGCCTGACCACAGTATTTTGAAAACCTCAAAGAAACACTTCTTTATTCATTGAGTAAATCAATACATTTCTTACTTCAAATATATAAATTCTTCTGAATGCCAGAAGTCAGAAACAAAATTTTTGATGTGTACAATTTACTTCCTAGAATTAGAATCTTTTGGATTTTCTCTTTGAAAAGCTCATTTATTTGTTTATATTTTTTGATCTTGGAATCTCTTAGTAGTAGACAGTCTGGTAAACTGTAGGGAGATGATTGTGGTGATCAAGATTTCCCTGGAAGCTTTTGTTTACATATGGTAGAAAACTACTGTTTTGTATTTGCTTTGTTATTATAACATGTCATTATAAGTTTTTGAATCTATAAAACATTATCCTTTTCACACTTTTTTCTTCTGAAGGCTGCTCGCCACATAAAATTTTTTTTCTTATTTTCAGTTTTTCATTTTTTAAGGCTTATCCATGGCTTCGTATATGTGGTTGAATTTCAAGAAAAGTAAGCAAGATAATTGTCCATAATGTGTTGTGACATACCACAGAGTCCAAATTATTTTGCTTATATTTTGCAAAAAAATTAGAAATTTGTATCTTGGAATCCTTTAAGTGTTTGTGGAATCCTTTAAATCTTTAAGTGTTTGATTTCAAATGTGCTTAAGAATTCTAATAACAGGATAGCTAGCAAATTTAACCAATTTATCATTGGTTTCTGAATGTTATTCACAGGATTGTTGTTTAGTCGCTAAGTTGTTGTCCAACTCTTTGTGACCCCATGAACTATAGCCTGCCAGGCTCCTCTTTCCACAGGATTTCCCAGGCAAGACTACTGGAGTGGGTTGCCATTTCCTTCTCCAGGGGATCTTCCCAACCCAGCAGTCAGACCCTCTTCTCCTGCATTGGCAGGTGGATTCTCTACCACTGAGCCACCAGGGAAGCCCATTTATAGGATTACATAGCAGAAAATAGCTAGGGGCCAATAAGATGTGATTTTGGTCCCAGCAAAGACACTTAAAATCTGTATGACCTTAGTCACGCAGTCTGACTCCTCAGGGTTTGTATATCTCATTTGTACTGCCTATAGTGAGGATACAAAAAAATCATAAAGTATACAGAAGAGCTTTTAAGATGTAAGTTGTTATGATGTTACTATAAAATAGCATGTATATGAAATTTATTCTAGCTAGAAAACATACCACATTAAGACTAGATAACAATGCTGATTTTAGCCATCTTTACTGGGCTCAGTTTTTAATAGCTTGGTGGTATCAAAGTGAAGAAGAACTAAAGGGCCTCTTGATGAAAGTGAAAGAGGAGAGTGAAAAAGTTGGCTTAAAACTCAACATTCAGAAAACTAAGATCATGGCATCCGATCCCATCACTTTATGGCAAATAGATGGGGAAACAGTGGCTGACTTTATTTTTCTGGGCTCCAAAATCACTGCAGATGGTGATTGCAGCCATGAAATTAAAAGATGCTTACTCCTTGGAAGGAAAGTTATAACCAACCTAGACAGCATATTAAAGAGCAGAGACATTACTTTGCCAACAAAGGTCCGTCTAGTCAAGGCTATGGTTTTTCCAGTGGTCATGTATGGATGTGAGAGTTGGACTATAAAGAAAGCTGAGCACTGAAGAATTGATGCCTTTAAACTGTGGTGTTAGAGAAGACTCTTGAGAGTCCCTTGGACTGCAAGGAGATCCAGCCAGTCCATCCTAAAGGAGATCAGTCCTGGGTGTTCATTGGAAGGACTGATGTTGAAGCTGAAACTCCAATACTTTGGCCACCTGATGCGAAGAGCTGAAAGACCCTGATGCTGGGAAAGATTGAGGGCAGGGGGAGAAGGGGATGACAGAGGATGAGATGGATGGCATCACTGACTCAGTGGATATGGGTTTGGGTGGACTCCAGGAGTTGGTGATAGACAGGGAGGCCTGGCGTCCTGTGGTTCATGGGGTCGTAAAGAGTTGGACACGACTGAGCAACTGAACTGAACACATATATACGGAATCTAGAAAAATGGTATTGAAGAATTTATTTACAGGGCAACAATGGAGAAACAGACATAGAGAACAGACTTATGGACATGCGGAGAGGGGAGGAGAGGGTGAGATGTATGGAAAGAGTAACATGGAAACTTACATTACCGTATGTAAAATAGATAGCCAACAGGAATTTTCTGTATGGCTCAGGAAACTCAAACAGGGGCTCTGTATCAACCTAGAGGGGTGGGATGGGGAGGGAGATGGGAGGGAGGTTCAAAAGGGAGGGGATTTATGTATACCTATGGCTGAGTCATGTTTAGGTTTGACAGAAAACAACAAAATTCTGTAAAGCAATTATCCTTCATTTAAAAAATAAGATTTTTATGAAGAATAAGTAATGTAGTACATGTATTATTTTAATAAGCACAGTGGCTGGCTCATAGGAAACAGTCACTAATGGTGGTGTTAGGAAATACGTGGTCATGCAAGAATGCCTGTGTTGGATAAGGAAGGATGTAGTGAAGAAGGAGGCAGTGAGTTTGATTATACTTGTGGTAATATCTATTTAATTCTAAGAGTTAATAGGTTTTGCATACATTTTCTGACAGGGCATTGGAAGAGAAGCAAATACAGTGGTTGGAAGAAAAGCATAAGCTTCATGAACGTATCAATGACAGAGAAGAAAAGTATAATCAAGCTAAAGAGAAATTGCAGCGAGCTGCAATTGCCCAAAAGAAGGCAAGTGGTTCTTATTAAATTGTTTCTGTAGAGTAAAAACATAACTATTTTAGCAGAATAAAATATAAAATTAAAACAGACTTTAGTGGTATGTTAAGTTTGATATTTAAACATTACATTTTGCTGTCAACTTTGCAAAGATAAATTGAGAACATGCAAACTACTCAACAGGTTTATTTCAAAATATGTGTACAAGTCAGTTTTTCAGAACCCACATATGGTTTTCCACAGAGATGGTAGTTTTCAATGATAGTTTCTAGACCAGCCCATACAAGGCTCATTTAACTCCTTCTTTACTTCAAATACAGTGTGATTAGGTCTGTTTCAGCTGTGCTTAACCAGTTCTTGTACCATTGTTTTTGTGGTTCCAGTACTTTTTTGTTTCCAACTCAGGAATATAAGAGCAAGTATCTCCTTACCCCAGCAGAAGGAACTAGGACTCCCCTGGCTTCTGAAACACCTGTGATAGTTCCCACACTCATGATCTTTTTAAAACTTCATCTTTGCAGGCACATTTTCTCCAGAACCTAAAAACTTTAGTCCAGGGCATTATGGAAATAATGTAACCAGGTGATTCATCTAAGTCAGTGGTTTTTACAGCGGCAGACCCAAGGAATGCAGCATAGCCTCATTAGTAACCATGGCTCACTATGGCAGCAATTCAGCAGTTATTTTCAGCAAGATTGGCACATGTATGTTGGGTGAAGGGGAACGTAGTAAAAAAAAAAAAAAATCCCACAAATAAGTTGTTATGTCTTCATTTCATAAGTTCCCTTAGTACTGGCATTGATGGAGAAAGTGAGAAGGTCTAAAATGAGAGGAAGGTACTTCAAGACATATACAGACTGGTATCTTAATGTCTGTATGTTTATTGGTAAGTGTAGTTGTTCATATTTGCTTAAGAGAACTGTATATCATTTACATATTCTGAATTTGGAAATAAAGGACACAGTTCCTAGTGACTTGTTTATGTTATTAGATATAACTGCCAAATTTGTCCTGATAATTGGAGTGACACCATGAGAGACCTAAACGTTATTACTTCCCCACTTTCTTCGTTTATGAATATTAGCATTTCTCCTTCTTTTATGCTAAAAATAGTATAACAGTGAGATTATAAAACAGTACTTAACTATATAGGAATACCAGTGTTTTATATTGGTATGAATATAAATACTTATGTTGTTTCATTGTTTTCTCCCCTGAATATATCACTTCTTTCTCTTTCCTTCTGTCCATGTAAGTACTGAGCAGTGTATGGGTATTAATGGGGTTTTAGTGAAGTTATTTCACGGCTTGGAATGATCTCAGAAATCCTACTTATGCCTCCTTGTATTGTTTGAAGCCTAAAAGCATCTGAAGCCAGATTTTAGCTGGAAATCATTAGAAATTACAAGGGCTGATTTTTATCTTTCACAGAAAAACTTTTATGTTGAGGCTTTAGAGATAAGTATCTTAGAGATCAGATTCTAATTATTGAGGTTAGGTTGGGTTGATTTCCTTTGGAGCAAAAGTGACATCCAGTGGTGAGACAGATTATAAGCTAATCATAGGTATACCCGAAAGAGGGGAGAAGGTGGTATTTTAAGAAACTTGCAAAATAACCTTTGATCAGTATTGACCTAGGATGAATGTTTTTCCTACTGAAATAACTGCCAAATGATGGGTATGAATATAGTAAATACCTATTTTACTTTTAAAAATATAATCTGTGGATTATGATTTTAAGTTGTACAAAGTTGTTAATTCAGTAAATAATTATAACCCAGAGCTGTCCCATCATGTGGAACACTACCCTGTAGGCTTACAACTGTACCTCAGTTACAGTGAAAAAACAGACAATAAATGTGACATGGGAATACTGTCAAAAAAGTATTTAAGTATATGTAATTTTAGGGCTGGAGGATCTTAGTATTCAGATAGATTTTTGCAGATTAGGAAACTGAAGTGGTCGGTAGCCAAGATCACTTGACTAGTTAGGAATGCCATGACTGAAATCTGCATCTTTCTATTCTTAAGTCTGTGTTTTTTCTGCATTGTTACTCTTTTCATTTCCCCCTTTCTTTGATTCCAGATACTCTACTGCTATTCTCTTCATTGTAGCCATAATGCACATAAATCATTTCCTGTGGCAAAACAGTCACTATAAAATTAATTTCTTTAACTCAGACCCTTTTCCCATTCAAATTAATGGTTCTGTATGAAAATTTTGGCTATAAGATAGCATAAAGAGGATTCATAAAATTGCAGCAGACTTTTAAAATTTCTTTAGATGACATTCTTACATGGTAAGACTTAAAACAGGTCAAACATGTATTAACTCAAGAGCAGAAATCATAATCCTTTAGAGTTACTTTCCTGTGAGAGGTTCTTATAACTGGGGAGTAGCAGCTTGATCTTTTTTCCTACAGGCTAGGTGAGATGGCTCACTGCCATCTGACTGTATTTGTTTACAACTCCAACCTCTTTAAGCACAAAGCTTATGTCATTTCTGGTAAGTGACATTACACGAAGATGTAATGTTAATGTGTAATGATATTTTGTTGTGTTGATTTGTTTGGAAAAGCTTGACCAGGTGTCTTGAGTTGGAATGCCCTTCTGTAATTGATGACTTCTCTGTGTGTTTTCCTCACACATTCTTGAAGTGTGAGTATGAAGAGCAATCTCTTGGTATGAGGACAATGATTTGTGCTTTTCCTTTTAAGGCACTTGAAATAACTTGTGGTTTTTATTCTAAGGTATATGTCTGAAATAATTCTTGGTTAGAGGTTATGAATGGCTTAGAAAAAGAAATGAACTATAGTCTTAAAGTTGTAAAATATCTGTTGAATATGTTTTGTGGCCTGGCATTATGTTACACACTGAGCAGAACATAGAAGCCGTGATTAATTCCTGTCCTTGTTGACCATATAATCTAACTGGAGAAATAAAATAACATACAATACCTAAAGAATCTTTTAGTCACTTCCATGTGGTCTGTATGGACACTAAAGTTTGAGAACCACTCTCCTAGAGAGAAGAAAGCTTGAAGACAGCCTAGTTAGAAAGCTATTACAGTAATCTTAAAATTATGTAAGAGGTCTGGAATTTGGGCTTGCAGTATAGAGTGAAGGTGAAGGATGACTCCTAAAAGTATTCCAAAAGAAAAAAAATTACTATTACAGTGCTAAATAAGAAAGAAGAAAATAGGAAGTATTTTAGCTATGAGAGGATATGAGGAGTTTTCATAATGGAATAAAGAGCGTGTGTCGGTTGAGTACAAAGAGGAGATGTATTTGACTAAACACATGTCCAGTATAAACTGATAACAGTGCATCCATGTGGACAAGTCCTGGACTCTTAAGTGAAGATATTGTGTAGGTAACCAGAAATAATGGAACATAAAGCATGAAGATCAGTAGTTCAGATTAGAAATGTATAATTAGACCCTTCAAATTTCAGGAATGGCTGAAAAATAAAAGGACTATGAACTAAGTTGACTGAGAAAGTTGCTGATTTAGTAGAGGAATGATCAGATGGTCATAGACGTAAAAGCTATAGTAGGTTGTTATATAAGCCACAGGAAAGAAAGATATCAAAGTTAAAGGCTCATAATTGTTGAAAAGAGTTCATTGAATTTGGCTAGAATGTGGTAAAAGGAAAACTTTAGCTTTGAATCTTGCATCAATATTCTTTTGATTTGTCTTTTACTCTTTTGTGTTGTAATGTTTATAACACTAAGGCATCCATTTGATTGTCCTGTGATTGTATCAGACTAAAATCAAAATTAAAACCATTTCTTACAGCCACTTTCCCCTCTGGGCTTTGATTTCTTTCAGTGGAGCACCATTCTTCCAATCACTTATGCTTCAAACCTGTGGTTCATCCTGAGGGCTCCCTTTTCCCACATCTAGTCAATCCCTGTATTAGTTCCCTAGGGTTGCTATAACAAATTACTACAAATTATGTGGCTTAAAGCAACAGAAATGTATAATGTTATAGTTCTAAAGTTAGAAGTCCAAAACCAAGGTGTCAATAGGGCCATGCTCCCTCTAGGGGCTCTGGGGTAAGGGTCTACTTCACATGGTGTTCTCTCTGTGTGTCTTGGTGTGTGTCCAGATATCTCCATTTTTATAAGAACACAAGTCAGTATTGGATTCAGAGCCTACTCTCGTCTTATTGCTACCCTTTTTTCCAAATAAGGTCACTCTGGAGTGACCTTCCAGCACCAAGAACCAATTACCTAATTTTCTGGACACCAACTGGGTGTCTAACTATTCAGTTAAATTCTGACACGACATCAAATTCCACAGATTAAAGGGTTCAGTCTCATAAGACTGCCTCCATGTCAACTGCCAGGTTCTCAGTCATCTGCACTGCTGACCAATGACTATAAATTGGGGTACCTATAAAACCCCTGCCCAGGTTCTATGAAAACATTTTATTTCTATTTCCTGGTTTATTATACTACGACTCAGGAATAGCCAAATAAAAGAGATGTATAGGTCAAGGTATAGGAGTGGTGAGGCGTACCACCCTCCTAGCAAATAGTGCACTCACTGTGCTGGCGGCTTTCCAGGGATCCCTGTTAAGCATTTTTATAGGTGTCAGTCTCCAGTATCCCAGCTCCCAGAAGTTGAGAATGGGAGGTGGGAGTAGGGCTGAAAGTTCCTACCTTCTTATCACTTGGTTTTTCTAGTGACTAGTCCTATTTTAAGACTATCTAGGGATCCCATCCTAAGTTAACTCATTAGTATTAACTCAGATATGATTGAAAAGGGCTGATTATGAATAGCAAAAGATGCTTCTGTCACTCAAGAAATTCCATGAGTTTTAGGAGCTCTCTGCCAGTAACTCAGGAAAAAGACCAAATACATTTCTTTTTCTATCACAGTCACATTCTGAGTAAACGTAAGTAGTATGGAGACACTCTTCTACTCAGTACAGTCACTAGAGCCTGTGAATTCTTCCTTTATAATATATCTCACATTTTCCCCACCTCATTTCTTTTTATTCCTATT